CAACAGTTTCTGAAGCTTTAGTACTTGACCATTTTTAGACTGTAAATTGGAGCTAGTTAAGAGGTTTTTTAGGTTGTAACTTTTCAAGAGTTGTTGGAGAAAATTGCTGTAGCATATTTTAGCACGTGATATATGTGAGGTAAAAAATATATAAAAGAAATATTCACAAAAAAAGGTAAAATTTTTTTTCAAGAAAATAGTAATCGAAATAGAGTCTAAGGTTTTGAAACTGGTCTCCAAGGTGACCCGTCTAGAGCTTACCATTGACATAACAGAGATAATTTCTTTCTGTACTTGGATCAATGCTACAGATTCTTTAAACAAGACTGTATCTCAACAATAAGCACATAATTTTGATTTTGTAGAGCTACACACTAGACTAAATATACCTCTAGTCCATAATGCTTAGGACTGTAATCAATAAATGTTATCTTTATAACACTTCTCTTCTCTTGAATAAGAGAGCTAGCCACTTAGCTATTTTGGAAAATCAAATATGTGATAATCAGACATACATGTAATCAAACACCAAAGCCCTTCTCTACTTTCGTCATATTAATTCTTTAATGATGAAATTTTGCAGCAGAAAATGATTTAGTTTAATGGCTAAAATTGGGTCCTAGGACTCTTAAAATCCTGAATTCAAATCTCCGTTATCTCTACCCGTTTTTCAAATCCCATCACTCTACCACAAGGGAAAAAAAAAAGATGAAATTTTGCTTGAGTAAACACATTATTCTTGCTACCTATCTTCATTGTCTTGGAAGAACGACGATTTGGGAATGATAGGAATGGTGCCTCCATGTGTTACTACTATCTATGTGTCATCTTAGACATGTTCATCTCACCTCTGTATCTTTATTTCTTCAGCTGATGAGTGTCCATCTTCACCACGACAATGAACAATTTAAAAGAAATTCACCAATATAAGTACCCTAATACACACGCACGTATGCCGCTCAACCTTCACACGCTTAATCCAAGGTATTTCTAGTCATATGCATGAACAAGTATATCAGACTCGCATGTGTAATCCATTATTTGAGCATAATTTTTGGACCAGAAGTGATTTTGAGCTCTTGTAAAAGCTAACTCAAATGGAAATGTTGGAAGATTTTGTAAAAATAAAAATAAATTGTGTTGATGGGTTCAAATTCTACTTATCTTTTTAAGTTTGTAGCTTATGATTGTTACATTTTCGAACAGGCCAACCTAAAGAAGGAAAGATGGTTAAAAAAAATAAAAGAAGATGCAAAAGTGATTTTCTTTTATTTATTCAATCTGAGTGTTTTAGAATGAAGATTCTTCAATGTCATGCAACGTATTCTTCTAATCCGAAAAGAACAAGGAATATTTGAAGATAGAGTGGGCCAAAAATTATTAGAACACCAAAATGACATTTCCTTATGAAGATATAGCGAAAGCTCCAGGACAAGCATGAAAAAAGCAGCAATTTTCTACTCTCAAAGAAAAGAATTAAGATGTTTTGATGAGATTGCATACAACATATGACGAAGCAAGGAAAATCAAGGTTACAGACCTAATTCCAAGTGTGTGTTTGTGAGTGTGTGTACCTCTGTATCATACACAATTCTATCAGTTTAATTATCCCAAGCTGTATACTTTAGCATAAATTTAGTGACATACAAAATTTTTTTAAAAAACTGTAATCAGATTTACTATATAAGAATTAAAATGTACAAGATAATATTCTAGGGAAAACTTTCATAAGAAAAGTCTAATTCAAAATACTTATAATTAATATATATATATATATATATATATATATATATATATATATATATGAAAAATCAAATTGAAAATGCACAAAAGAGATTGGAGGTTACTTTGAATGACAATTGAAACAAAAGAAGTAGAAGAGAAAAAACCGCAGTAAAATCCTATTAATTCCTCTTATTGCAAGCTATATTTTCAGTTTCTTTGTATATGCATATAGCTCAGTGAAGCATTTTGGTGTTTTATTGAAACTTATAAAAATCCAATATTTTGTAAACTAAAATGTGGGTATTAATTTAGGTGGTTTTCGTATTGAACCTTTGTTGCAATTATTGTGCTAAATTCATATGCAAAAGTTTTGGATTCCACTGAATTTCAATTTTTGTGAAGATTTCAAGTAAAATTTTGCCTATCATATCAAGCTGTAGCATTACGATATACAGAATAACATGATCATATTTTAGAAATTGCAATACTAGTCCGTTTATTTTTTTTCCCACATTTTTCCATCCTCACGTTTGATTCCCAATTGTCTTAATTGCCATTTAAAGTGACTCTACATTTTATTTGTATGTGTTTTCAATTAGACTTTTCTTATCAAAATAAAAAGTATAAGTCTACTTAAAAGTGGTAATTTTTTCCCACCGAAAGGGTCTTCTGCCACTTAAACTAGTAATGGCTGCTAATTAAATTAATCGTTTCACTAATCACATAGATGGAGTTAATTTTTTCATTATTTTTTCAGTTGACCAATTTTATAAAATGCCTATTAAAATATTTTAGGGTCTAAAGTGCAATTGGTGTAATAATTCGTAGGAATTTTCTACATTTAGCCCCCAAAAAAATACACTTTCATGCATATCAAATGTACAATAGGTTTTAAGAATCAGATTTTGTGAAAGAATGGAAAGACAACCATGACATGAGAAACCAAAATGCAACTTGCAGCGTAAACCTCGAGATCCACGAGATATGCACGCCAGCACTTTAAAGTACAAAACAAAGGAAAAAAGAAATAGATTGTCTGCAGCATCCTTCCCAAACCTGCAATTGGAAAAATCAAACAAGCTAAAAGTTGTCAAAAATGAAACAGAAAATGAGAAACTAAAGCAAATGAATGTCTTAGAAATTTCAGGAAACTGTATGAAGTAAATATGAATAGTTTTTTATTATTTATCTTTTTCCAAAAAAATTTAAAAAGGAAACGTAGAAATTTCATCTATCTTTTAAATCTAATTTGAGCCAAGTAAACTCACCAATTGGCAAATTATCATAATTAAATCACCCCAACTATTCATTCGTGTTAATTAGAGGATGCCGATATAAGGGTGCACTCATTGGAGTTGAATTCACTAAATTAAGTATTTGTATATTGATTAGTCTTAATTCACTAAATATCCACACCATGATGATTTGTGACAAGTTGATAATATTGGGGTGCAAAATTATCAACATAAAAGTTTGACGTGCAAAATCATGAAAAAAAAAAATTAGAACCCTCAAGTGTAAATTATTCAAATTATTGCATGTTCAATTATTGCTCGTTCTGGCCATACAAACACAATATACAAGTCAAACTTAATCATCTCATTTCAATTCTCAAATCATAGTAACGTGTGATTTGCATGTCATCAAGTTCCGATGTATAGAGTTAAACCATAAAAGATTCCATGCTCGAACATATTTTATCTGAGGCTTCGCTGTCTTTGTTAGTTCTTCCTTCTCAGTCTAAGATTCCAATAGCTAAGTATTCCCCTTAAGAATATATTGCAGTTGAAACTTGGGGAAGAATTCACATTAGTGTATCTACGAAACTCAGCTTTAGTTTTCACTGGAACTTTTGAGTTTTGGTTGGAGGAACATGCACAAGTGTGACTAATAAAAAAAAATAAAAAATCTTCCACCGATAAATTGACTATTTTAACTACACAAATGGCAGCTGGTACGTGAATTCAGGCAATTCCGTTGAGCCCTCAATTATTTAGGCACTAAGCACAATTTTTTTAATAAGAAAGACAAACAAAACTTTATTAATGAGATTGTTGGAAATCGTCTAACACGAATTATTTGATATAATTTAGAGGAAAATTCCAAAGAGATTTAAAAGGATTGGCAGCAGTCTTAGTGTGGTGAGCTAAATTATGCGCTACCTTATTTGTTTCTCTTGAAATTCATCTAACATCAATACAATGTTGATCTAATAAAACTAGATGCACATTCTCTATAATCGGACCTAAACCAGAAAGAATGTCTTCTTTATCAAAACTAGGCACTAAGCACAATAATATTCATACTTGAAACATACATATGAATATTATTTTGCACATATTATTGTTCAATTGTTAACTTGTTTATTGTGTTTTCCCCCTTAGATCGAAATCCGAGATGCAAAGAAATGATCCAAAGAGTTAACTCGCCAATAGTTGACTTGCCCTTTTAACTTGGCCGCCCTAACTCCTAATACGACAAACTTGATCTACTTCTAATTTTGCTTCAGAGAGTTAAAGTTTACAGACTGCTTTAAAGAGATGGAGACTAGGATCAATATTTTATCCATGTGGAAACACATAAAAGGGTGACATATGCCCCTTCTCACCAGCATTTCGTTGACAATTATAGCTGTATGATTTTCAGTGTCACACCAAGCTCTTTGTCTTGCTTTTTCAATTTCTCATCTTGTAACAGGTATTATAAAACAAAAACTTTGCAAATTAATCATTGATTCTGACAAGGAATGTCTAAAAGCAAGTTGTAACTGACAAACTTGTTTATAAAATATGCCACACTGTTCAGAGTTTACGCAATTGATACCGAAATGTTATTAAGGTCAAACTATCAATTTTCAACAAGCAATGATAAATAATAAGGCTCATCATGTAAACCAACAGGTGTGGTTAGTCTATATTAGAATTTAAACTACCTCATTAAAGCAGAAATTAATTAGTCAAAATTATGTCCCTAGAAAGAACACACTTTCTTAAATTCTATCGATCAAAGCTGTCCATTCTCCACGATGCTGCCACTACAACCCAGAAATTGTTTTCACTTCTGGCATCATTGACAATAATTGTATTCTTCAAAGTCAACCAATTCTAATGCAAAAAAAAATAGCCCACATTAACATTTAAAAATTTGCCTTACGCTGTACTAACTACTGAACCCAATAATTAATCTCATCATCCCAGCTATGTGTTTTTTGCATTGAAACATTCAAATGGCTCTAACTATTTAAAGGGTGGCAATCTGCTTTGTTCTTCAGAGATTTACAATAGAAAGAAATACTTTGGTTCGTAGCAAAAACAATGGCATTGTCCAAGTCTCTTTCTCTTATCTTTCTTCAACTGTTATGCGTTCTATGTGTTTTAAACCTCTCGAATGGAAAAGGCTTAGATGTCAATCTTTACGAAAAGACATGTCCCTTCTTGGAGTTCATTGTCAAAGACGTAACAGCAAAATTCATTTCTCGAACACCAAGTCTTGCTCCTCCATTATTGAGAATGCATTTCCACGATTGTTTTGTTCGGGTAAGATCACAGATCAACCTTTCCTATTTTTCTTATGCTGCACATAGGATTAATCACATCTAATGGCTATGTACTAAAACCACACATGTAGCTTGTTCTACATATTATAGGGGTTGAATAAGGTTGTCGTTGTTGGAGACTTCTTAGCATAGAATTAGTACGTTTAGGTTTCTTCGTCGCGATTACATGGCTAATGGAGGATGTTATGTTTTATGCTTAAAGCCTGATTAAGATAATTGTTGGTTAATGGGGCTGATATGTTTTATGCCTAGGTCTAGATTAAGGAGTTGACCTTGTTACCCATCAGAGCCTAAAGGAAAAAAGAAAAGGCGATGTAGTTCGAGAGAGGATTTAAGGGTTCAATTTTGTAGTCTCACTATATATATGCTACACTAGTTTCATTTTAACAAGCTGGCCACTAGTCCTTTTGTGGATATGGATAGAAATGATTGTCAATGCAAATTAATCTCACGCAAAATACAAAATATAGTACTGCCTTTTACTAAACATGAAAAGTTCATCACCTTTGTGTATACTACTTCCATATACAACAAATACATAACATTATACTCTTGAATGGACAATGATGTGGTTTCTTCTGAATTCCTTATTTCGAAAAAAAAAATTTTTGTTGTCTAACGAGTTAATTTTATTTGCAGGGATGTGATGGTTCGGTCCTATTAAACTCTACCTCCAAAAATCAAGCTGAGAAAGCAGCAATCCCAAATCAATTGCTTACAGGGTACCAAGTTATTGATGCAGTGAAATCAGCAGTAGAGAAAATATGTCCTGGTGTTGTTTCTTGTGCAGATATCGTGGCATTAGTTGCCCGTGATGCTGTTACTTTGGTGAATATTTTGAAACTCTTCCAAATTTTAAACTTTGAGGAAGTATAAACTTGTAAAACAAGTGCACTAAAGGTGGCAGTTTTCTTGCAGATTAAGGGACCATCATGGCAAGTCGAGTTAGGCCGAAGAGATGGAACAGTCTCTAAAGCTTCAGAGGCCTTGAACAAGCTGCCTGCACCTTTCATGAACATAACTCAATTGAAAGCATCATTTCAATCTGTGGGTTTGAGTGTCAAAGACCTTGTAGTTCTATCAGGTACCTCTCAATAACGGACATGATGATCATCGATCATGTTTTGAATTATGCCCTTGTTACTTTTAAACCTAAAACTTTCGAATCCTTTTTCAAGATTAAACATTCTAATTCTATCTAAAAATGGTTCTTTTTAACACATCTAGCCTCTATATTTAATCTGACGTGCACATGGTTTGATTTCCCAAGTAGTGTGGATTTTTATGCCTCTATTCCTAGCAAAGATGAGCACTGGCGGATTTAAGGTGGGGGCACTGGGGGCACAAGCCCCCACTGCTCTCCTTAAATTCTTATAATATGCATAAAATTTTAATATTATTTTAAATGTGCTTCCAAAGTTTTTTTTATGAAATAAGTGAAAGAATTACGTGATCTTTTAAATTAGTTCATGAACTAATATTCTAAAAGAATATGTGAGTCACAAAATTTCATTTGAAATAAGTTCAAAAAATCTTTTTCATTTTAACTTGTTGGTGAATATTTTTTTACTGAAAAAACTAACAAAAGAGTAGAAAAAAATTTTAGTGTTACTTTTGCCCCCACTGAAAATTTTTTCTAGCCCCGCCACTGAAGATGAGGAGCCAGGAAAGCTTAAAAATCTAAAAGGCAAGATTTAGGTTGCATTTTTTCTCAAAACTGTTCCGAAAAAATTTTTAAAGGCATCTCTCAACTACCTTTTTGGCCTCCATATGCCATTGTCGAGAAATTTTTAGCATAAAAATTTTTCTAAAAAAAAATTACATTATGCTGTAGAAACTAATGACATAGGATATTCCCCTTAAAAATATCATGGTAGAGAACTTTTTCTAACTTCATTTCTTTCTTTTTTCAGGAGGGCACACGATTGGGATATCTCATTGCATTGGCGTCAACCCACGTTTGTTCAATTTCACAGGCAAAGGTGACACTGATCCAAGCTTGGACCCTAAGTACCTTTCTAAGCTAAAGCGACAATGCAAGCCAGGGGATGTTACTACAATTCTTCAGATGGACCGCACTCCAAAAAAATTTGATATTGATTATTATACTACAGTAAGTCAAAGAAGAGGGCTTTTTCAATCTGACGCAGCTCTTTTGGATGACACTGAAACAAAAACCTACGTCCAACAACATCTAAGCCATGCTGGATCCAAGAGCTTCTTTGATGATTTTGGGGTTTCAATGGTGAATATGGGTCGCATTGGAGTTCTTACTGGCAAGAATGGTGAAATCAGGAAACAGTGTGCCTTCGTTAACTAAGCAAATTTTTCTTAGTTCCTCTTTGTTTCAGTACTTCAAGAACTGGATATTGAATTGATTGTGTAATCGTAGTGGCCAATTGGATTTGTTACGTTTGTGTTGTTATTATTCATTTTATATGCAGTCAAAAATAATTGAGTTTGTTTCGATAGAGGTTATTTGAAATAATTATTGTAACACTTTTTGTGATGTGATTTATGTAAGATAAAAAGATGATTGAAAATTGTGTGTATGATATAAGCAAAACAAAATCTAAAATTTTTTTTCTTGAATTTTTGATATCCAAACACAATATGTGCCCATTCTTCTTGATTTCAAAACCTTTGGATATTACATGAGCCTATTTTTCGCAGCTATATTTTTTGAGTAATATAATGAGTATTATACTTTTTATTTTTCACCCTCTTACCCCCCCCCCCCACACACACACACACATCCCACTTTCAATTGCCAGGTGCAGGACTCAAATCCCAAATCTGCAGTTAGAAAAATTCGAAGAGTCCTCCCAGACATTATACTCAAAGGAAATTCTAAACAAATACTCCCTCCATCCCAATATTAGAGTCATTTCTTGAGAATTCAACTTTTTATGCAGAAACAATAATCATTATTACAAAGACGCTTTGGGGCGCCACGTGGACGGTGGATAGAGTGTCCACATGTCCTCCATCCGGAGGATGGACGGTCCGGATTTGATCTGGGGAGGAGAGAGAAAGGGCAATCCAAGAACGAGCGTCTTATAGCCGTTCATTGTATTGAGTTGAGTAAATCTCAACCGTCCAATCTTCCATTGGATAATGACGTGGACCCCTATCCACTGTCCACATGTCCCACTGGCCGCTCGAGAGAGCTCAGGCCCACCAGGATGCACAGTGCTATTGGATAGAGTAGCGAACAGTGCCCGGAGGCATTGTTGGACACGTGGACGGTGGATAGGGGGCGGACACGTGGACGGTGGATTGGGGGTCCACGTCATCATCCAATGGAAGATTGGACGGTTTGTGTGTTTGGATTGTAAATTATTTGAGATATTTTTACTGTAGTACTTTTTTTGATATGATGTATGTGAGATAAAAAAGTAATTGGAAAATGTGTTAATGATGCAAGCAAGTCAATGTGTGTAAATAAGGTGTAAATAAAGTGAAATAATCTTCAATCCAAACACTCTCGCTGAACACAAAAATTTCTCACAAAACTTTATTCCCTTTGTTCTATTGATAATGTCATGTTTTCACTTTATTGATATTCCAAAACAAGAGTCATCATTTCAAATTTAACATTTGCTTTCTAATCTTGTCATTTAAAAAAGCAACTTTTTAAAATTTCAGTGCACATTTAACAAGAAAATATTTTGAATCTAAAGGATACATAAGTAAATTCATCAATGATGCCTCATCTAGACATAATGATTATTGTTTTTGCACAAAAAGTTGAATTCTCAATAAGTGACTCTAATATTGGGATGGAGGGAGTATTTGTTTAGAATTTCCTTTGAGTACTATTGTTCTATCTCAAATAATTTACAATCCAAACACCCAAATGCTACTTTCCTGGCCAATGTTCTATCCGAGTCAAGACTGAAGAAATTAAATAAATAATGAAAAAAAAGGAAATAAATTAGCCATAGCCATTGAGAAAATAATTTAGAAAAAAAGAGTTCATTTGCATTGGTTGATTGTGATGATCATGAGCGAAAGTGGCAGCCATAGCATATTTGTTTTGGGTAATAGGGAACATTAGAAATCTTCGGAAGCTCTTGTCGTAGTTTCCTTCCCCAGTTCACCGTGAGCTATATATACGCTAGTGGATTAGGATACATGGAAACCCCAGTGAACTGCTAAAGCTACATAATAGACAAACTCTTTTTCTTTTTTTTTTTTTTGTTTGAGGTTCTATCTCTCTTTCTCTCTCTCGGCTTTTAGAGTGCTAGAATTTAGACAGAGTAAATGAACTTTTTTTTTGTTGTTAATGGTGGAGGATTGATTTTCACTAGTAGCCCTCAAACTATGACGAAATTTAACTTTTGATCCTTCAATTATTAACTAGACAGATTCAACCCTCCAACTAATTAAAATGCATGCTTAGAGCCCTTTCATCAATTTAAATCGATATGTTTAATAGAAATAGCACCATTAATGAGGCACAAGGATGAGCGAGGGGCTTTTTGTCTGTTGATTCTTTACTACAAATTCAATTCTAGTATATTTTCCTTATCATTAAGAATCATCAACTTCATCATCAAAGTCTTAATCACCTGAACCAGTGACCTCAACTTCCATTTTGCACCTTCCCTTAAACTTCAGTCATAAAAATCCATGGCCCCATCTTCATCTTTTCAACCTTTGTCCTAAAACCAACCACTGAAAGCCCTCCAAATCTCAACTTTAACCTCTTAAATTCCATCCAAAATCGAAAAAGGAAAAGTCAATAAAGAAAAACTAGAAAAAAAAATTTTTAAAAAAAAAAAAAAAGACAAGAGGAAAAAGGACTTGCTAAAGTGCAAGAGTTGCCTAAACCCGCGCTGCCCCTAGAATCCAAAAGAAAATCTTAGTAAAAAATGACAAACTGATGAACCTTTTCTAGTGGAGAGGAACTTTGGCTAGTTTAAAGTTGGCAGGAACCTGTGAGTTCATTAGAGAGTAAAGGGTTCCTTTATTGTTTTACTTTAATCTTTTAAGAATTTTAGGGTGTGAATTATATTTTGGTGTCTGTGAGAGAGAAAGGCAATTTTGGCAAGGTTAGAGGTGATGGTGTCTATTTTTCGATTAGTTCTCGAGGAAGACATAAAGCAACAACAGCATTGTCTAACAAGGTTTCACAACACATATCATATGTAGATGAAAAGACCCCTCGTTTATCCCCTGTGCCTCTCTCATATGGGGTTATTTCTGTTAAACATAATGATTCAAATTAACGGAAGGACTATAAGTATACATTTTAATTAGTTGGAGAGCTAAAACTATCCAATCAACAATTGAATGATCAAAAGTTGAACTTCTTAATAGTTTGTGGGTGATTGAGAAGTTTTGCCTTAATAATAATACTACTTCTTTTTTTTCAAAAGTGACAAGAATAATTTCTAACCTTAAACTCACAGTAATACCAAAAATCGGTAACTTCTGGTACCACTGAGGAGACTATAAACCCACTTGGAAGTTGAGATGTTGTGTGTATTTGAGCCAGAAATTTTGTCAAAAGCAGTAGATATGTTGTCACGCATGAATGAACCAAGAAAAGCTGCAAAAGAAAGAGAGCTTCGACCCAGATGAATGAATAATCTGAACAATTGCACTTTAGGCCCTCAAGTTTTATATAATTTCATTATGGCCCAAAATCTTCTGTAATTGAACCATTCACGTCCCTATTGAGTTTTCATTCTCTTTTCCATATTCAAGTGCATTTCTAAGCATGTTATTGCTGTGATTTGAGGTATAATTAAACCTTAATTTGTTTTAGTGGATTTATTATCTCATTGGGTTTTGGTGAAATAGTTAAGTGATTTGGCTTGTGGTTTGATTTGGTTGGGTTTTCAAATAGGCTTTAATTTATTTATTTGGGTTTTCGCCCTGGGTTGGAGGCTAAAGTCCATCCGTTTTGTTGGTTTATTTTGGGTCAAAAAGTCGGCTAACCCGCTTCATTTTTCTTGGACTTCCGATCGGGCCAAGCGCTCTTGGCCCAAGGAGAAGTCAGAAAATGGCCCAGTGGCCTACTTCATCAAGAAACCAGAAAACGTTTTTGCAGAATGATCCTTGTACTTTTCATTAATTGTTCTATGGCCCTAAAAACCTTTAACTTTTTTTAATTACGTCCCTAATTTAATTTCAAATAGGTCCTTGAGCTTTATTTTTCTTCAATTTTAATCCCTAATCTTTATGATAATTATAATTTAACCTTTAAAACTTTATAAATTTTTACAATTAGGTCCCTAATAGATTTGATTTCTTAAATATAAGTTGTTTTTTCTCTTTAATTATGACTTATATTCTATTTGAATGTTTCAATTGATTGATTTCATGCTTATTTCCATTTTTATGATTTATTTGTTAATTAAATTGGTACCTTGATGATTTTTGTTAATTTTAGAGTTAAATATGGCAAATCCAATTCCCCATTAGCTACTACTTCAAGGGAGGTATCTTCTTTTTTTTTATTTTAAATCTTCCTATGTGCTCCTATGTGATTTTATGTGTGTAATTGCATGATTTTGAATATTTTTATTTATTTATTTATTTATTCACTTTATTTGTTTTTAATTTTGTATATTTATTTTAATTTAATTTTGTTTATTTGAAGGGCATTTAAATGCCAAATTGTAATAGTTAGGGGGTTCAAGACATGTATTTAAATAGAATATATAATAGTTAGGCAGTTATTTTATTATTTTATTTTCCCCCTCTTAGATTGTAGTTAAAGCCCCCAAATATAATAGTTAGGTCTCTATTTGCTTTTATTTGTTTGTGTGCTTGCATGCTTGTGTGTTTATGTGTTTACTCGCTTTCTTAGGATTTTTTGCATCTAGACATCATGCTTATGTGCTATGTGTTATATGTGATTTATGTGTTTACTTACTTTTATTATGTTTATATGATTTATTTAATTATAATAAACGCATGACATCACCACTCTAGTCCAACGCTAGTTGTGACCCTTTTTCCTGATTACGTCGCCACACTAGTCCAATGCTAGTTCTGACCTTTTTTTTCGATTTGTCACTTGTCCAACGATAGTAAGAACTTACAGACATGGGTTAGTCCAATGCTAGACCCTTAAGGACTGTCCACACGTTAGATCATGTTTGTGTGACAATCACTTCATTTCATGCATATTTTTTACTTTTTAGGATCTTTACCATTTGGCATGTTATTTCCTCTATATGTATATCCTTTACCCTTATGTGCGAAACATGACATTTAGACTTACATCTCATTTAAGAAAAATTAGAAGTAGGTTAGTGCATTTCTTGATTAAATTAGGGAAATCACCATTCGAATATGGTATATGGAGGAGTATGGCTCTCTAATCTTAGCACGCTCGTATTCCCTCTATCAAAGGGAAAAATTGAAGTCATGAATGTTAGTTCCCCGCACCCATTATGATGCATTCTCTTAGATCACGTATATTTGCATATTATAATTTTTCTATTTTTTAGTCTTATTGTTGCATATTCGTAACATCTTCAAAGAGTCACTTGTGGGCGTCGCAATTAATGCGATTTGCACCAATCAAGTTTTGAACAGACAAATTGACCCTTCCAATAACCATTAGGTCTAGGTAGGGCTGCAAACGAGCCAAGTCGAGTTTTGATCTAATCGAGCCGAGTCTCGACTAAATTTTACCGAGCTCGAGCTCGAAAAAAAAATAAAAAATAAGTATTTTATTTTTAAAAAAATAAATAAAATAATATTTTTTTCTGAATAAATAATAAAATATTAAGAATATATACGTAATTTTACTATAAAAATAAAAAATAAAAATTATATATATAATATACGTAATTTTATTATTAAATAAAAATAAAAATAAAAAAAATACATATATACTCTAACGAGCTTAATATTCTTAGCTCGAGTTTGAGCTCGAGCTCGACTCGAGCCGCTCGTGAGCGGCTCGATTCGTTTGCAGCTCTAGGTCTAGGTTTGCATTCATATAGTGACATTCAAATGTGATAAGTTTTTAGGTTAAATTAAGAAAAGTTTTTTTCGACTAAATCACGCAACTAGCCTTGATTAGGTCGAAAAGGTATCTTGGATTTCATCCTTGCCTTCCCTTTCTTCAACCGTGACTCCCGAGCTCATTTCTCTTGATTTTCGAAGATTTGGAGTCATTTAAAAAGAGTTTTCTTTACTTTTAAAATTCATTTTTAGGTGACTTGGTACATCTTAACTCAATACCAAGTGGCGACTTCTATTTTATTAAAAACCCTTTTAAACTATTATTTTGGGTCAAAACCGTCGCACTTTTAAAGTCCCATTTAGACCCATTTTCTTTATTTATTTAGTTTTCTAAAAAATAAAAAATTCATTTTCACTCAAAATTAATCAAAAATTCATTTTTATAAACCAGTAATTTCATTTTTTCAAAAAATGGGGCGCGACAGGAGATACCCAAATTTATTCAATTCTAAATTTGAATTCGGAAACGGTTATGAATTCGGGTTAACTGAATTCATTTAAAAAAAATTGATGAATCCTTTAATTGTAGTTTCCGACCTAATTAAAATAATAAGTATTATAGTTATATTTAAATATAGTTATGTATTATACCTATACTTATTAATTATGATCTAATTCTAGTCATGTATAAAATAATAAATATTACAGTTATGTTATGTATTGTTGTATATTTGTATTATTATGGTCATATAACAATTAACAAATACTAAAATAGTATATTGTACATCATTATATATTATTATTATCATAAGTACATGATAATATCATATCTTTATATATTATAAGAAGACGTTTTGGGTCCTGTTCATTGGGCATTTTTGTCCTTAAAATTTCATCTGCTCACTTCAGGGGCATTTTTGTCCTTCTAGCTTTTTGTTCTTCTAGCCTTTTGGCTGTTCTTTTTCGTGGAGCTAAATATAGAAGAAGACATTTGGAGGGATACTGTTCATTGCATACTATTGCTGGGATTTCGTGTGCATCTCCATGCTTGAGGATGTTGTACGTTCGAGTGCAATTTGTGATGGTTGTGCTTTGTACTTTGCACTCTTGGTTTATTGCTTTTGGACTGTGGAGCCCATGATAACATTCCACCGCAACATTCTGTTTCTCATTGTGGTTTAGGCTCCTTCACATATTATATACGTTGGAGATTTCTGCTTTCTTGCTTGTGGGCCGTGGACCCCACATTGATTGTATGCATAGTTGTGTGGAGTGGGAAGAAAAAAATATATCTCCTCTTGAAATTAACTTGAGTTAAATTAAATGATAATGGATGTTCCCAAATTATTCAATTAAAAATATTAACTTTTTTAAAGAATTAAACTCCAATTAAACTGTTGAATGAAGATTAAATTAAACTTTTGGAAAAAATTAAAAATAAACTTCAATTAAATTATTGAATTATATGATGATAGACCTAACAATCATTAAAAAAAATGAAGAATTATTGTAGACATAATAATCGCAACTCATAGATTTAGAAATATTAGATTTCTGAATTAAAATTAAAATTCAACTCGAATAAAAAATGGAGTTAAATCAAGAATGGAGAATTAAAACTCCAATTAAACTCCAATTTTGAATTAAAAGATTGAGAATTAAACTCCAATTAAACTTCTGAATCTGAATTAAAATTAAAATTACACTTTTGGGAAAGATAAAAAATAAATTCAACTAAATTATTGAATTAAATGATGTTTTCATCATTTAAGGTCATAGACCAAACAATCATGAAAAAAAATGAAGAATTATGGTAAACATAATAATTTGGAAGTCATTAGAAATGTCCTTACATATACATAAGAAGCACTTTGTTCATTGGGTTTTGGGTTCCTGTTCATTGGGCATTTTTGTCCTTAAAATTTCATCTGCTCACTTCAGGGCCATTTTTGTCCTTAAAGTCTTTTGGTTGTGGTTGTTCTTTTGGTTAGTATTCATTGCAATTCGTTTGTTCTGTTCAAGAGCTATTGGAACTGCTTGTTGCTTGTTGCAAGGCTTAGCCGAATGTCAGTGGAACATCGGCTGTTTTGCAGCATTTACAAGAAGCATTAATGAGATGTGATGTTGATTTCTATCAGCCAGCTAATTTTCTCTTGTTTAATTACATTTTCGTCCCTCAAAATATTCATTGAATGGACTATATATTTTCAACTCATGTCTAATAGTGTCATTTTACAATAGCTTTTTACGTTTTCCCTCTGAATTCTGTCGGCCATTACTAATTCAAGCCAATTATGCCTTTATTCTGTCGACCTTATCACTTATCAGACGATATACTACGCATTATCAAACCAATACCTACCAAACCCACTCTCTCACCCGATGCCCCCGTCCACTCCCCACCCTCAACACCGCCCTCACCCCGTGGCTAACAGCTCCGACTGCTGTAGCAATGGCTTTTGTTAAAGCCCAGAAAACAAAAGCTTACTTCAAGCACTACCAAGTCTCGTTTAAGAGAAGGAGAGAGGGAAAGACGGACTACCGAGCTAGGGTGCGTCTAATCAATCAAGACAAGAACAAGTACAATACTCCGAAATATCGCTTTGTTGTGAGCAATACACTGAAGACCCATCACAGCTAATTGCTGCTCAGAAGGTTCCTGTGGCCGCAGCTAAGAAAACCCCAGCTCCTGCAGCTGCTCAGCAGCAGCAATCCAAGCCGACGGCTAATCTTCCTTCGAAGCCGCTCCCCCCAGCTCAAGCTGGTTAGCTTTCCTTTTTCCTCTCTCCATCCTTCTTTTATTTCTTCCCTTTTGAGTATCTTATTTGTTTTGCACACTTTTTTATCGAAGCGTTAATGGGCGTTAGGGGTTTTTGTACTTCGATGCTATTTAGTGAGAAAGCAGCAAGTAAAAATGGTAACAGTTCTCTTTAGAATTTGAAATGGATGAGATAATTATTGTATGTTGAGTTGATAAACTTGATATGAAATGCAAAGGAACAGATAAAATTTTGAATTTTGCTCTAATTTGTTCACGTTATTTTTGGCTACCGTTGATTTTTTTTTTCTCCTTCTTTTTTATTTACTTTTGTCAAAATTTATTAGTATTTGTTTTAGCACAGGTTTTTGTCTTGTTTAACATAAGCACTATTTAAGATTGTGAAAACTTCAATTATGCTGGAAGATTGCTGTGCGCTCCAGTGGTGACTTTTTTTTGTAAGTATCATTTCCGATGTTGATGTTAATTTTTAGCTTTTCGAATCAAATTTGGCTATTTACTTTTCCGTTTTTATCTTGATACAAAAATCTCTATTTCTTATTCAATTACTGATTGAAGGATTTGCAGTACTCTCAATTTTCAAGTAAAAGGTTGCCGCTAAAGCTCAAGTGGATGCTCCCTTCTACTTAAACAAAATTTTGGCCTTTCTTTGTTTCTTCGTTCAGCTTTATCATTTTCCTTAAATAATTTTGGGTTTCTTCATTGTGTAGGTCTATGCAGCTGCTACTGTCTTTCTTGTACCATTTTTGGAGAGGAAGGGAAATTTCCTGAGGTGAACTTCAATTTCATTATTTTTGGGTTGTTTTCTTGCGTTGCTTAGGTAATTTCTTTTAACCATGTAATGCATCAAAATTCATAAAAACACAATAATTTAACAGAAATTTATGGAAAGTTTCATGGTTTTAAGCATCTTATACCTTGTTTCACTTCCAATCTATATATATGGTAAATCACCCTTGCCGGAAGTCATAAAAGATTTCCTGTTTTGCGTTAAAATAGTTGGCTATGGGTTCAACATCAATTTTAGTGATTTTGCATACGTATAGTACAGGTTGTAAACCTTTTTTGAACTCTATTTTTAATGTGGAGTTAATATCGAAGGCAGTGTAGTGGAGGTAGGTTTTGCATGTTTCGTTTAACAATTTGTATCCTTTCATGTACTAAGTGATCCTCCCATGCATGGCAGGTTCATATAGATTCTGTAACAATTACTTATTAAGCTTCATTTATCCTCTTATATAGGTCATGCAAGCTGCACAACCTGTTAATGTGCCAGATTATCACTCTATAGACAGAAGCTTAGCTAAAAGGACATTACAGATGTAACTAACAAGGACTTCGATGCAAAAAAAAGGTTTCATAATTTCTTCATGTTATGTCTATAGATAATCAAACAATTACAGCTGTTTGATATACAAAAGATTGGTTTGCTGTTTGTTTTTTTGTTTTTTGTTTTCAAAACATTGATATGTTTGGAAATGATTAGAATTGGCCTAACTTTCGACAATAAGAGAACACCCCCCCCTTTTTAACACCAGTCATTAATATCTATTTTATTGTCTCTCTGCTATAAGTTTTAGTATTCCATTTTGATGGCTGAACTTTTTTTAATCTGTAAAAAGATTGGAAATGATTCAGATATGTTGTCTTCAATTGAGTCAAAAAGTGCATTGGTTGGGAATGAGCCAAAAAATGAAGGATTATTGTCTGCTACATCCTCCTCACATGGCAAGCTGCTGAAGGTTCGAACTGATACTGCTAAGCTTTTTTTCTTGCAAAGCCTTTTCTTTAAGCTAACAGTATTGATTGCAGTTGTACTATATGTTTCAGATTGTAATGCAAAAATACATAAGGAGCTATCCAAATGACTAAAAGCCTTTTTAGTGATAGCCTCTGGAGGTATCTCTCTCTGAATATGATCAATTCGTATATCAATAGATAGCCTTCTGTTTTGCCTTGTTGCACATTTTGCCACCATTAATCTGTTGTTCTGATTAGGACATAATTTACTCTCTTAATTTATTTTCAGAACTGGTGAATTGAGCTCCTTTTCATTTTGAGTTTGAATGAGAAACTTTGTTTTCATGCTTGTTTTCATGTAGTCCAAAGTTCTATGTTTTGTCAAGTACATTAGCCAACAAATTTTTTTTTCCAGATTCAATATTAAATGTATGTCTCAACGAAAAGTTACTTAGATATTCCTATCAGTTGACTTTCTTCTTGATTAATGTGCTTGTTAGATTGAGTAGGCTTCTGATCTAATGCAATGCTTTGAAAACTAGCCTTAAATCAAGGAACCTAAAATAACTAATATTTTTAACTCTAAACTTTCATTAACTTTGGTGCAAATCTGTTAAGCCTGTCTTTTTTCTTTTCTTATTAATAATGGTGCATTTGTGATTTGTTGTTCTGGAATTAGCAAGCTTCAAATATTTTGCAAGAGTTGATCAACGTTAATAATGATGCAAAAGTTATATAAGCAATCCAAGATTAGGTCAAAGATGATAAGGCTATCTTTATTGAACAAACAGCAGTAAAATCTATTTGTGGAGTCTTTGATCACTTGTTTACTGCTCAAGTTGGCACTCCAAATGAGCAGCTTCTACAATTCATCTCTGTCCTGTTCCTAAAACTTAGTAAGTGTGCAATTCTTTGATTCTAGCAAAGATGCAATCTACTGAGTCTCATAGCTTGATAGGAATAAATTTATCAATGTCATAATTGAGAAGTAGCTTATAGTTAACAACTACAGGTGCTTGATAGCGTCTAACTGAGAACACTTATTTCTGCATGTTTCCCTGTCAGAATGGTTGTTTTTTATTGATTTTCTTTTTAATAATTTCATTTTGAATATTTTTGTATGACATCTATGTTGTTTACTCGTTCACTGAAAAGATTTATATTAAAAGCGTACAATTTGATATCATCCTGAAATCCCCATGTGATTAGTTTTTTTGCCTACGTATCTCAGCAAAATAATTGAGATTGGACTGTATTCTTACAATTTACTTTTTCTTGGAAGTTCTGCCTCCGCTGTAGGTGCTCAGTTGGTGGCTGCAGTTGACGAGGCCAAAAAGGTGATTCAGACAAGGGACATTCAAGTGGAGGAGGCAACTGTTGGTGATGAAGGGAAGGATGCCTCTATACTAGGTGTCAAGTCTGTGGCTGCTGTTGGAGAGGCTGAAGAGGTCAAAGAAGTGGTTGAGACGGGAATTTGAAGTGGAGAACACAACTGTAGGTGATGCAGGGAAGGATGCATCTAACACACCTATTTCTTTCCAACTTGATAGTGCCGAATTTGTTGCTACAAGGAGCAATGATGTGGTGGTTGACGAAGCTGTGGCCATGGTTGGAGGAGAAAAGCCCCTTGCTTGGCTAGACAATTTGCAATCAAGCGCTAATGAATCAGTCACAGTTGAGCAAGATGCAGAAATGGTGGTGATACCCGTGAAATCTTCTGTAGTGGTGACAGGAGAGGAGAAAGAGGAGTTACCTGACGGTAAAGAAGTAATAGTAGATGAGATTGTGAAAATCGAGATTAAGGTGGACATGGAGATATCCACTTCGGCTGCTGAGGTAACTGAAGGTGAAAATATTATGGGTTCACATGGTTTACAATTGGATGATAATGAACCTCCAAATTCAGCTAAAGAAGAGGTGGATAAAGAGATAAGTATTAGTGAGGAGACAGGTATTGTAGGCAACGCAACAATGGATGACATAAAAAAATGGAAGATAGTAAGAGTGGGGTGGTGGAGGAGGAAACTCTTCTAGCCAATGCGGAGATGGATGAAAAGAAGCAAATGGCAGCACCTGAAAATTCTGTGCCAAATGATTTGGAGTTTGTTGGTAGCAAAATAAGGAAAATATTCAGGAGGAGGGGATTCCAACTGCGGACACTGAAATGGAGAAGAAGATTGACGCTGAAATGGTGACTACTAGGGTTAGTGATGTTGAATCCAATGCTAAAATAGATGATTCAGTGTCTGTTCCACAAGATGAGGAAGATGAAGACATGGTTGCTCAGGAGGGATCTGCTCTGGCAGAGACGGAATTGGAAACTGAAACAGGTGTTGGGGAGTCAAGCAAGGCTGCTGGAGAGAAGCGCAAGAGGGGGAAGAATTCTAAAAATTTGACTAATTCTAAAATTGGATGAAGAACTCAAAAGGTAATGGATGAGGATGTTTGTTTCATTTGCTTTGATGGGGGGGACCTTGTGCTGTGTGACCGGCGGTAAGTATGCTGGCTTTTCAAATTGAATTCCATTCCACTTGAAATATATTTCCTCTTGAAATTAACTAATGTGTTGAATATGATCCACATGCTTATTGTATCTACTTATATGCCTTCTTTGTAAATGATATTGATTCATTATTTTTTCAGGGGTTGCCCCAAGACATATCATCCTTCTTGTGTTAATCGGGATGAGGCATTCTGCCGTGCAAAGGGCAAATGGAATTGTGGTAAGTGCATCTGTCTCTTCTGCAAACATGGTTAGATGCGGGGATGCAACAATATTCACACTTAACCTTAAATTTGTTTTGGAGGGTTCAGATGCATAAGTGCAGTGCTATTCTCTTTAGTTGTTTATATGTGATTTTTGCTACCTACTTTGTGAAATTTATCTGTTCTTAAGTAGTTTTGAAAGCTTTATTCGCTTATTGTACTCACTCTCGAGAGACTAATTTAACATGCGGACAACCTAAGATACTCTGAAAACTGAAGAACGTGACTTATTGACATGTCCAATGAGACTAACCTTTAATTGCTACAAAATTGAATACCTCTTCTTACCTCAGTTGCGTGATAGTTTCTTTGCACCAACTGAAGCACACTTTTGGAATATCAAGAATAGGAAAGAGAACCTCAGGAAATTGCAGAAATGACTTGACTCGTCATGTTAAAAGGGTTGGGATTTGTATATCATACGAGACATGACATTTGAACATTATTCTTGATCAAGTTGATATATCAGCATGCTCTTTACAATTGACATTATTTACTATACATGTAGTTTGATAAAGGATGATTACTTGCTAACGTATACTCTGGGAAAATTGAGCCCTCCACTTCATGCTTTTATTTAATCGTTTTTCTATGCTGAAGTTTTTCATAAAATATGGTTGACTGATCTCTGCTTGCTCTTTCGTTTTTGGTTAGACATATTCAATTTGACGTTGTTGTGTTATATTTATGCAGGTTTTGATAGCCTTTGACATGCACTCGTCCTTTTGTTGTATTTCAGGTTGGCATATTTGTAGCACTTGTCAAAAGAATGCCTATTACATGTGTCTTACCTGTCCTTTTGCCTTGTGCAAAAGATGTGTGAAAGATGCTGCTTTCTTGTGTCCTAGGAAATAAAGGCTTTTGTGAGACATGAATGAGGATTGTCAAGCTAATTGAAAGCTATGACAAAGACACTAACAATGTACTCTCTCTCTCTCTCTCTCGCTCCCCTTTCTTGATAGGTAGAATTACCTTTAATTTTGGTGGTGTAAGTACTAAATAGAGTAATTTATATTCAATTAGGCCTTGGTCAGACTCATTCTGATTGGTTTTCGTTGTATATTGGTCGTAATAGTTATTTTAACTTTTCTCTTGATAGGTTTGCTGGTTTGTTCATATTTTAATAGCTTCTATCTTTTTGTTATCTTTGTGGGCGTGCTTGGACTAATGCTTTCTTCGACTTCTTTATGAGTTTTCACCATATGCATCTAATGATTATTTGGTTCTTTTAAAACCCATAATACCTGCTATTACCATTCAAGGAGAGAATGTGAATTGGGTTGCCAAAGTTTCTGGCTAATAAACCTCTTTTTCCCTTTAGAATGTAATTATTTGAACAAAACTAATTTTATTCCTTTAACCCTTCAACATCAATTCTGTTTTGACACTATTGCATCTTTAATAGATTAATGCTTGCTTTTCATGTCTGGTTTTCTAGGCAAAATTGGATTGTTTGGTTTAGGTCTTAAAAATTGTCTTGCTGTAAAATTGTGTATCTTTTGATTAAACTTTGCTCATGATATGGTGGGGCTATTTGGTGTCTCTTTTAGCGAATTTTATGGTGGGGTTAAGATCTGTTGCTAATGAAGAGGAATCTGCTGGTGCGGTTGTGAGAGGAGGTGGTGAAGACATTTCTTCACCAGGCAAGACTGAATGGGCATCAGAAGAACTTCTGGAATTTGTTGTGCACATGAAAAATGGTGATAAATCTGTTCTGTCTCAATTTGATGTTCAGGCTCTCCTGCTTGAATATATCAGACAACTTTTATGTAGCACTGCAGTGACTTCAGCAATATATTTGAATCAGCCATTCTGCTGTATATGTAAATGGTACCAAACAATTCTTGTACAATATTCCAATGACTTTATTCTTTTGAATTATAGCATTGTATCAACCATTAAAAAATATCACAATAACAAATAAAATTTTATTAACAGGTCTCAAGTTCCCACGCCTTGCGTGGGAAGTCATTACCTAGTACTAACTATTATTAATAGCATTTACCTATATAATATAATAATATATTAGAAGTATATACTAATACTAAACCAATTCTTTATAAACGAATTCGAAATCGGTTATTACCAAATTCATAATCTCATTACCTATTTCATACCATATTAGAATTCGGTGAATTTGGTAAATACCTCTTTTGTATCAAATCATCAAATACCCGATTTCAAATTACCAAATTGAATTTGAATTCGGGTATGAATTCAGTACGTACCGAATTTGCTCACCCCTAACCGAATGAATCAAGCTCCAGGAACAGATATAATTAGTATTCTATCATGATGCCCAGGCTAACGTAGAGAAATTTCCTCTTTTGGTACTCTTTTGGCATTTTATCCTGGACTCAGTTGTCTTTCTTGTTTTAAGTGATGGTGCATATTGTATAGCAATATTTCCCAACATTAGATACTTGTTTTTCGCATTAGACATTTTTTTTCCGCATCAGACATTTTTTTTTTCCGATTCAAGAGAAACAAGAAACCACGCAAGAGTCAATAAGAAAACATGGCTCGTTGCATGGGCCAAAAGGAAAAAATAACCATCCATAAAAGGTTATAGGTAAACATATGTCTAGTCAGTAATGATGTATGTCAGGAGAGGGATGGATTAGGTGATTTTGGGGGGGAAGAAGTATAAGTGAGAGATCTCGATTTGAACCCTCCTACATACATTGTAAAAAAATAAAAAATTTTAAAGCGTATGTTGTTTATATCCGTGAAAAACATGGTTCCAAATTGAGTAGTAGGCACTGTTGGACTACATAAGATTAATCCTATTTTACCGAAAAAAGGAAAACATAAGATAAATCCTTATTGACCATTTTTACAGGTACAGTACCATGACATATTTTGTCCTACAAAATTAACTTTTCCCAACTATTGTAGACAAATTAAAGCATTTTAGAAAGAAATTTGGGAAACCCTTGTTAGATTTTCTTCCCTATTATAACTGATTTAATTAGCAGATAGTTGAACTACGTCCATAAGCAAGAAAAATTGCAAGTGCACAGTAAACTGGAATTTGATTTCATATGATCGACATACTATGATGTTTCAATGTTCAACTGACTTGTGATTTCATTTTTCTGTAGAATGATTTCAATTTCTCAAATCTCCTATGCTTCTATTGCAATAAACAAAAAAGAATTTCCAAAAAAAAAAAAAGAAAAGTGAGCAGATCACCCTCTGATTGGACCAGCAAAAATGCATTACACAGCTTTTAGCTTATGTCTTCAGAATCGAACCGAGTATCGACTCGGTCGAGCTCAGGGGTCAGGGGTCAATGGGTTCAACCGGATTCGATCGGGATTGAACCGAATGACGTCATAAATAAAAATTATTTAAAAATTAAAATATTATATGTAAAATACCTAATAACATGTTAATATTAATAAAAGTATATTCATATATATTTGATATTTTAAATATATTTAATAAGAAAATACAAAGAAATTAGAACAATCAAGTAGCAATTTATATTATTTAATGAACATTAACTAATTTAGAATTAAAATTATAGACTTAATTGGAAAATGACATCAAACTTTAAGACAACATTTATAAAGTATGAAATATTTGAGGTATATTAATAATTTTTAATAATTTAGGAGGCAAAACATAATATTAAAAATATTTTGACCTTTAACAAAATAAAGAAAAAGAGTTTTGGACAAGTAAACTTTAAAAGGCAATGCTCGCAAAAGTTAAGAGGATCCCACAGAGCTGAAACGTCATGAAGAAAATGTTCTAGGGAGTTAGAGTTATGTCAGTAGTATAAAAATGATGCGCCCGGCGCCGTTTACAGAAACGATGCGCTTTTTGTCGTTGTCATGCATGACTTTCTTTTTTTTAGGCTCGATTCTTATTTTCCCAGTCAAATCGGGGTCAAATCCGATTTTGATCTGATTTGACCGACTTTTAAATTTTTTAATTTTTAGAATTAACTCGAATCGAATAAATGGTCAATTCTCGATTCAATGATGGGATCGGCCGACTTGATCCGAGTTTAAAAACAGAGCTTTTAGCCATTTAATTAAACAATAAACTCTAAAAGAACAGATCTAAAAGTTGCAGAAGTTGCTCATTTACTAGGAAAAGAACCATATTCCTTAACAAACAGCAAGAATATTGCTCTTTATCAAATGTTATCTTTGTAGATGTCCTTTCATTACTTCTTATGCTAAAAAGTAGCCTAAGTACAACATAAAACAGTTAAGTAAAGCACACTGCATAATAATAAGTGGAGCATGATTATGATTATCCAAAATCATCTAAAACATTCAACAAAAACAAATACTAGCGAAATAGGTGTAACAGTTCCTCCTCGATGTATCAATCATCTTTTTTGATCTCCCAAGTCGATTTCATGATCTATACTCTGTGAGCTGGCTGCCAATGTGGTAGCAGGTTCCAGATAATCAATTAGATCTTTTGACATATATTGCAGTTGAAACTTGGGGAAGAATTCACATTAGTTTGTCTACGAAACTCAGCTTTAGTTTTCACTGGAACTTTTGAGTTTTGGTTGGAGGAACATGCACAAGTGTGACTAATAAAAAAAAAAAAAAAAAAAATCTTCCACCGACAAATTGACTACTTTAACTACACAAATGGCAGCTGGTACGTGAATTCTGGCAATTCCGTCGTGCCCTCAATTATTTAGGCACTAAGCACAATTTTTTTTATAAGAAAGACAAACGAAACATTTTGTTTGGATAGGGTATTATTTGAAATATTATTTAGAATAATTACTGTAGTACTTTTTGTGATATGATGTATGTGAGATAAAAAGATGGTTGGGAATATAAAAAGGTGGGTTGAAAAATGTGTTTGTGATGCAAGCGAAATATTATTTGGGATAAGTTTGGTATCCAAACATTAATGAAATTATTAAAAATCGTCTAGCACGAATTGTTTGATAAAATTTAGAGGAAATTTCCAAAGAGATTTAAAAGGATTGGCAGTCTTGCCGTGATGAATTAAAGTATATGCTACTTGATTTGTTTCTCTTGGAATACATCTAACATCAACACAATTTTGGTCTAATAAAATTAGATGCGCATCCTCTATAATCAGTGATAGGGATAAATATCTTGAGAGAGTCTACCAAAGAGTCCAATATGTAAGTCAAGAACTCAATTCTAACCCCAAAAATTTAAACTATTAGGTCTTGGATTCTTACTTACATATTAACCGCTCTTTCTTCATCTCTCGGATCAATGTGAGACACAACTCTTTACTCATGACTCTAACAAATCTCCCCCTTCATGAGTAATCTCCAAAATATACCCAAATTTACAAGCCCTTCTTCGAGCAACGCAACCCCACCTTATTACTTAAGGTCACATTTTCTTCCAAACATGGACCTACTTTTCTTTAACATCCAAACTACATTTTGGAACCCTGCCAACCCTTGGCTCTTTGGTCTAACTCCAACCGGACCTCTGCCAAACCCATGGCACATCTGGTCCAATACCAACCAAACTCCCTGACACTTCAGTTCACCATCAAGAGGAGAATTTTCATCGGTCCAACTACGAGAAGAATCCATTTACCCATAAGTAACTCAGTCTCACAACCTGAAACTCTAATACCAATTTGATAAGGAGAAACAACTTGAGAGAGAATCCACCAAAAAACCCAATATGTAAGTTAGGAACTCAACTCTAATTCAAAAACTTAAGCTATTAAGTCTTATGCCCTTATTTACATATTAATCGCTCTTTTTTCGTCTCTCGGATCAATATGCGACACAACCCTTTATTCATTAACATAACAATCAGACCTAAACCAGACAGAATGTCATCTTTATCAAAACTAGGCACTAAGCACAATAATATTCATACTTACAACATACATATGAGTATTATTTTGCACATATTATTGTTCAATTGTTAACTTGTTTATTGTGTTTTTCCCCCTTAGGTCGAAATCCGAGATGCAAAGAAATGATCCAAAGAGTTAACTCGCCAATAGTTGACTTGCCCTTTTAACTGGGCCGCCCTAACGCCAAATACGACGAACTTGATCTACTTCTAATTTTGTTTCAGAGAGTTAAAGTTTACAAACTGCTTTAAAGAGATGGAGACTAGGATCAATATAGTTGTTGAGGTTCATTCATTTTATCCATATGGAAACATATAAAAGGGTGACATATGCCCGTTCTCACCAGCATTTCGTTGACAATTATAGCTGTATGATTTTCAGTGTCACACCAAGCTCTTTGTCTTGCTTTTTCAATTTCTCATCTTGTAACATGTATTACAAAAAAAAAAAAAACTTTGCAAAATAATCGTTGATTCTGACAAGGAATGTCTAAAAGCAAGTTGTAAATACCGATGAATTTAATCAGTTGGAACTGACAAACTTGTCTATAAAATATGCCACACTGCTCAGAGTTTACGCAATTGACGCCGAAATGTTATTAAGGTCAAACTATCAATTTTCGACAAGCAATGATAAATAATAAGGATCATCATGTAAACCAACAGGTCTCGTTAGTCTGTATTAGAATTTAAACTACCTCAATAAATCAGAAATTAATTAGTCAAAATTATGTCCCTAGAAAGAATACACATTCTTAAATTCTATCGATCAAAGCTGTCCATTCTCCACGATGCTGCCACTACAACCCAGAAATTGTTTTCACTTCTGGCATCATTGACAATAATTGTATTCTTCGAAGTCAACCAATTCTAATGCAAAAAAAAAAAAAAAAAAAAAAATTGCCCGCATTAACATTTAAAAATTTGCCTTACGCTGTACTAACTATTGAACCAATAATTAATCTCATCATCCCAGCTATGTGATTTTTGCATTGAAACATTCAAATGGCTCTAACTATTTAAAGGGTGGCAATGTGTTTTGTT